CATCGGTGGAACAGCGGCAGCGTTTTACCTGAGGGAGGAGTTTGGACCTCTAGTCAAGATCGATGTGTTTGAGCCGGGGACCGTTGGAGGGCGGCTGGCGACGGTAAAGATGGGCGATTATGAGTATGAGACCGGAGGTGCTGTGATCCATCCTCTGAATCTACACATGAAGCAGTTTGTTGATAAATTAGGTAACTAAAGCAAAATAACATGGCTTATGTGACGGATTAACAGAGTATTATTGCTATTCTAAATTTGATGCCTTTTTGTCGACAGGCATTCCTCAGAGAAAAGGCCTCCCTTCTAAAATGGCGATCTTTGATGGGAAGGAGCTTGTTTTTGAAGAAAGCGACTGGTTCATTGTTAACATCTTCAAGATGCTCTGGCGGTATGGATTCAGTTTCATCCGTATGCAGATGTGGGTGGAGAGTATTCTGGACAAATTCATGAGGTGAAGATGAAAACCTTTCAGAATTTACATGCAGTTCTGCATTAGCAGCTCAGGAGTGTCCTGAATATCCTATAAATCCTGACAGAATCTACCAGTACCAGCAGTACGGCTACTCCTTCTCCAGCGTGGACAAACTCCTGCATGCTATGGGAGGTGACAGCTTCCTCACCCTGATGAATCAGACTCTGGAGGAGGCCATGATGGGAGAAGGATTTTCTCAGGTCTTCATCAATGACATTGTTGCACCCATCACACGTGTGAACTACTGCCAAAGCGTCCGCATCAATGGCTTTGTGGGTACGTCTTCCAGAATACAGCTCCGATGTGAACAATCAAGTTTAGATTTTTGTTTCATCATAACCAAAAGGTTTAGTGGATTTTATTGGGGTTCAAAATGCTAGATAAGTACAAAGAAGAGCTTTACAGACAAGTAGTTCGAAACATGTCTTTCAGATATATTTGGAAGAAACAATCTATTGCGTTGAGCTTTTGTAAAATGATCTTTGCTGAAAACAACTGTGCCTCTACAAGTTGCTGATGTTTGGTGTTGGTTCAGGGGTGGAAACCAAATCATTAGTAACATGTCTTTAAAGAAAATGAAAGGATAGGATAGGTAATAAAAAAAAAAGATATTTAAAATGCCATCAATCGGTGCCACTAAAATAAATACTTTAGTATCCAAAACATGCACACAATGTAAAATTAAGATAAAACAAAAACAATCCAATAGATAAAGAAAATAGCCTATCCATGCAACATCTTACACACTATCCTTGTTGTCAGTTTATTGTTTGTTTTGAGTGCCATACATTTTTTTTCAGCTCTAGGATAAAAAAACTGAATCGATTCGTTCTTGGTTTTAACTGATCTGTACCGTCTACCTGAACACATCCGTGCAAACAGGATGTCCAGCGTGAGAAGTGTCTTTTGCAATTATGCTTTGCTTTTTTAAGACAACAGTACAGTCATTGAATAAGTTTTCTACTAAGACTAAGAGGGCATCTTTTTTTGTTTATTTATTTTTGTCCTGTATTCACAACCATTGGTGGAGTTTTTCCTTGAGCCACAGTTCTACTGGTGAACTATACACAGACGCAGTATGCTTTAGTATGCTCACTATAGAGCACTTATAGAAGGACAAAAGCAGTTTTTCCTTAATTTTATTCTTTCTAAGAACCCTCAGGAAGTAGTCTTCTTTTTTTTTGTTGGCCCAAAAGAGTTCAAGTTCTACATGAGGCCCTGCTCAATGTGGACCCCCAGGAAACTGAAATCAGGTGGTGTAGTTTCTCCACACAGAGCTTGGAACCACTCCAGCTCTATTTGTTTTGTGTAGGAGAGCAGACACAGGAGAGGCACGCAGAAACAAGTCCCTACAGAAAACAGACGGGCAGAGAACGTCACACTTGATGATAAAACCCTGTCCCTTTCTTCTTTGTAAAATAGATGAGTCAGCTTGAACAGGGAGTGTCTGTGACTGTATTTCTCAATTTTTGCTTTAGATCCTCAAATTGATTTCAATCTCTCCTTGGACCGGGCCATTCTAACAAATAAAAAATGTTTCTAAGGATAAAAAGTGGTTTTTATTCTCCTCCATAGGGTTTCCATTTGGTTGGATCTTTCTTAAAAACCTTCTTCCACGTGCTTGCTCTAAATAAAAAAGGGATTTGTTATGGTTGCCTTCAGCAGCGGCTTTAGACACTCCAGCAATTCCAGATTTCTTAAACGCACAAAATAAACCTCTATTGCTTACAGACTTAGTCTCCTGAACTGTAGATTTCTGCACCACCTCCAGGTTTAACCTGATGTTGTTTTAGGAGCGGTGTCGTTAGCTGGGGCGGATTCAGGCCTGTGGGCCGTGGATGGCGGCAATAAGAGGGTGTGTTCTGGGCTACTCTACCACAGCAAAAGTGACCTAATCCCTGGCAAAGTGACCTCCATCTCTGTGAAAACGCGACCATCAAAGAGAGGTATCTTCCATATTGCTGCATTTGGTACAAAATCAGGCATTTTTTCTGCTAAATTTAATCTTTTACACAAGTTCCTTCTGCCGTCTGTTTTCAGGTAACACTGTCAGCTATTATGAAGTGAACTACGTCGGAGAATCTGGCTTAGCACATTCTTTGTATGACATCGTTGTCATCGCGACGCCGCTTCATCAGGGAAAGTCGGACATCACGTTTACGGGGTTCTCTCCTCCCATCCCAACTCACTACCCCGGTCTCTACCACCGGATGGTGGCCACTTTGGTGCACGGCACCCTGAACGTGTCCTACCTGGGGACAGCTCAGCCGGCCTCGGAGTTCACCGTGTCCGACATCCTCACCACGGACTCGAAGGGCTGCGCCATCAACAGCCTCGGCTCTCTGGATCCTGTTCATATTCCTGATGGGTACAGTCGACCCCCCGCCAGCTATCCCAATGTCTGGAAGGTGTTCTCCACACAATCGCTGACCCAGGAGCAGCTGCAGCAAATGTTCCTCTCCTACGACTCTGTGTCGGAGACCCCGTGGCTCGCTTACCCCTCGTACCGTCCGCCGCACCGGAGGACCCCTCCTTTCATCCTGCACGACCGGCTGTACTACCTCAATGCCGTCGAGTGGGCAGCGAGTGCCATGGAGATGAGCGCCATCTCGGCCCGGAACGTGGCCCTGCTGGCTCATCACCGCTGGCACAAACAGGTCGGAAAGGTCGACCAGGAGGACCTGCACACCCGACTGAGAGGAGAACTCTGAAATGGAACAAAGAAAAGTAGAAAAATGGAATCCAAATAAGCAGCAAAGCCTTTGTCCTTAATCAGATGAATAACATTTTCCCCAAATGATTTTTCTTTACACATTTTCTGAATTTCTCTTCATTTCTTAACATGAAAGAATCAGAAAATAGTAATAACACTGTGAACCAAGCTGCACTGATGGGGAGATCCTGTATCTTCCCTCTTTCCCAGAGTTTGTCAGTCTGTATTGAACCTGTCTTAAAGCTAATTCTACTCGTCTTTATTTGTTCTTTCTGACTTGAAGCCTGATTTACTGATAAGTTTACATGTTTTCTGTTCATTTCCAAGACTGCCTCGTCAGCACAGAGCTGGGATTCCTGCGAGTGTTTACGGCTAACAAATTTTTAGCAGTATTTACCTCTTATTTTAAAACGAATTCAAAAAATCTGCTTTAGAAATTTGATGTGCCTTTAATGTAATCAGATTTGGGTTATAAAATATTTGACCATTTGTCTTCATGTTCAACAAATTTAGTTTTTTTTCTCTTTTAAGATCTCAAATAAAATCCAAAGTGTTTCATGTTGATGATTTCTGATCAGAACACGTGTTTGTAAATGATTCTGGACTTTTACTCTGTCTTTTTTTTCAGATTTCTGATTTAAACTGCTGTCTAAAATCCCTCCTCTGGCACTTTTTGAAGATTTACTCTACTTTTTTTAATACCGTAGTAAAAGGCACTTTAAATGGGTTTCAAAACCAACCTCGTGTCAAACCACTCTTGAAAACGCCCATACACTACTGTAGATTTTTAGACGTGTTTACAATCAATAAATTAATGATGCCTTTCCTGCATTGTGTTGTGTCATCTATCACCACACCATCTGGCTATGCTTTAAAACATTGTTTTTGGATTCTTCTCTGATTAGGAAAATGTTGGTAGTTTTTTCCTTAACTTCATTCCTTTGAGACGTTTCCGTATACCAGCTTAGAAAACATAATTAAACTAGAGTTCTCCTTATTTTTTAACATTTTTACCGCATTAGTGGCTCGTTTTATGGACAGTAGGCCGACAGGAAAGGGGGAGACATATGTGGGAAAGGACCACAGGACGGATTCGAACCTAGGTCGCCCTTGTCACAGACTAACCAGTGCACCATCAAAGCGAGCCCCTTTCAGCCTTTATTTCAAAGGGCACATGCAGAGGAGTTCCCATCTAAAATAAGGAGTGAAGTTGGAAGATTCCATTTTGAAAATCATTTCCAAAATATTTTGGTTGCAATAAAAGACATCTTAAGCATTAAACTTAAGGGGAGGAAAAAAGGAAATCGGCTGTTTTATTGGAAATAACCCTTTTTTGGACAAAGCACATAAAGCTTTGTTTATTTGGAAATTGAACCTAATTGGTCTAATGACATGTTTTGTTATCCTTCCATCAGAAAGAAGCATCTGATTGTTTTTTGGGTTTTTTTGTCCAATCATTTATGGTTATGAGACAGGTTAGTGTCAAAAATCCAGAAACACAACAGCTTTATGAAGTTTTAAATAGAATAGAAGGTATATTGCTTTTGATAAATCACCCTAATCCTGCTAAAAGCATCTCTGATCAGTGGGATAATTGTTGCATTGACTCACATTGGGAGCCAAATGTTCTCTCTGAAGTCACCATTTCCATATGAAAAAGCAGCAAAACATTGTTTTCAGCTCCGATACATGGAGTTCCTTTTTTTTTTTTTTTCTTTTCATCACACTTCCCAAATAAAGGCCATGTGATGCCTGCAGTCAACAATGGGCGGCTTTGACAAAGGAAATAAGGATACGTCTGTTCATTGATGCACCACCAAGCTGTCCCTCTCAGGTGCGGGGGGGGACAGTGGTACCAGAGCCGGGCTGTCGAGTCAAAACATGTGATGTGACTGAAGATTTATATAGGAGTCGGAAACAAGACGGGTCAGACACCCCGAGTCCTGCATCAACCAGACCAGCAGCCAAGATGAGATTTTTGGTGTCTCTATTTGTGGTCCTTTCTGTGGCAGCATTTCACTCTGGTAAGGGACAGAAATATGAGAATAATACAATATAGTATCAAAGTTAGTTGTGTTTTCTTAATAACTAAATAAAGGATTTTTTAAAAGAATGATTAAGTAAAATCAAAGCTTGTAAACCAACTAAGGTTTGCCTGAATTTCTGTTTTTCATCATTTTACTAACGTTTTTCTATTTTCTAAAAAATAATTTTGCCTGAATAGCATGCCTTTTGTTATCAATAACGCCACAATATCTTTTCTATATTTCTTATCTTTTTACAGTCTATTTTTTATGCTTTTTTTCTTATTCAGAAGCTTGGTTATTTCTGATTTTTAATCCTCCTTTATGAATTTCTTATGACTCGTAGCCCTCTCAGCATCTCTGGAATCTGCAGAGAAAGAGGAGGAAGTTACTAATCATGGTGAGTAGATGCTTATTTATAAAAACAGTAATGAAGGACAATGTTACAGACTGACAAAGTGACATAACCCGAATTTTTCTCTGCAGATGGGCTGACATGGGCAGATGATCAGCTGCAGGAAAAAGGTAAAATACAAGTGTCAACTAACATTAGGAATACACAGGCTTTCTGAAATAAGTATGTGGTTTTGAGAAATGAATTTTAAAATTTGAAAGTTTTAATCTGATTTCAGTTTTCTAATATTTTTTTTCCTCCATTAATCTTACTTATATGGGTTTGTTCTTTTAGATGTGGAGTTTGAGGCTGCTCAAAAAGATAAAGCAGCTCAGAAGAATGGTAGGTTTAAATCTGACAACAAAATGAAATGACTCAATTTACAGAATTCAATGGTTTTTAACTTTTGCTGTCTAGTCACAGAGGATCAGAATGAAGATTCTCATGGTAAGGTTAAAACCCAAAAAAATCATGACAACTTTATCAAATAAGTACAGCTGTTCCCTTGGTAATGCAGTCTTTAACTTCACAGAGTCTAGTGAAGATGGATCTGGTCAGTTTCTAGTACAGCATACAGTGATTCTTATTTCCCAAACATATATCTTATAACTAAGTTTCTTTTTTAAATGTTTTTAACAGTAGAGCAGCATGATGATGATGATGATGGTGAAAGCAAAGGTTTGTTGATAGAATGTCCCTCTCAATGGTTTCTTTTATGTCCTTTGCACACATAAAACTGCTCTTTTAAATATTATTGCATTAATCCTACATATACTGACTTTATTTTGTTTTTTATACCATTAATAACTTGGTCTTAACCATAATCAACTATTAATTGGCCTCTTGAATGCCAGATTAGATTCTTTTTTTTTTTTTTTTACACAAAACATTTGGTTTTCATTTATTTTAATGGATTTGTAAGTTTAACAATAATTTTTCATTTTCCTTATTTTATGCAGAGTAATTTGTAAAGAAGCTGCTCCCCTAACCACAAATTTAAAAATAATTCATGTCAATAGATGCTTTTCAGTTGTTTTATGGGGACGTCATTATCAATGTTTTCTTCTATACACATGGAAGTTTTTCTTCACCTTGAAGAAAACGTTATAAAATTTAAGAGATTTCATAAATACATGGAAATAAAAAATGGAAATACATTTTTCAACGTTTTTCATCAAAAGACTGGGGCGGGCATCGGGTATACAAAGAAAATGACCGAAAAATTTAATTAAAACTGAAAAGGTCTTTTTTTTTTTCGTCTGTCACCTTTGAAAATAAAACATTTAAGAAATGTAAGAGGGATAACTGCATTTAACAGTCTTACTGTACCACTGTTGTCCAGCAGAGGGAGCAGCATACTCTGATGGCGCAGCTCAAGGTGAGGCATGTTTTTAATTATGCCTCTAGGTGGCAGCAATGGACGGCTGAAAAAGCAACAGCCGTGTCAAGTCTGAATCAAGTCTCCATTTATCTCCTTTTTTAAATCCAGAGTCAGATTCTAACTCCTCCGAGGAGACTTGTGGTGAGTGTGTTAAACAAATATATTTCTTAAGAGTTTAAAGATGTATCCTTTAATAGTTATCTTAATGATTTCCTTACAGAGAGGCGGTGATTTTTCTCATCTTAGAACTATTTAATTGTATTATTAGAAGTATCAGAGGTGAAAAAACTTGAAAATGTATTTTTTTTTTTTCCAGAGCACCTAGACACGGGAACAGAGAGCTGTTTGGGTATGTGAAAACACTTAAACATCTCATGAGAACAAGCTATAAATACTGATTTTATTTTCTTTCACCCCAGATTTCAGTGAGCAATCAACCCAGAACCAAGGTGAACTTTTCAGCTTTCTACATCAACCTTTAATATCTAATTTTGCATAAGTACCTCTAGCTGCTAGGAATCCAAACTGTTAAATAAGCTCAGTTCATAACGTGTTTAACATTCTTGAAGGCAGACTCAGAATTACCTGCAGAGGCGAGATGTGGTAAGATGTTTGCAGCAAACCAGTAAAGTCTAAATTGTGAGTTATGCAATAAACCAGACAGAGAGGAAAAAAAAAAAAAAGGTGGTCACAGCCAGTCTGGGCTTGACTTTTTGAAATAGTGCGACAAATGTTTGGTGGCCGTCTGTGGAATTTAGTCTGCAGTAAAAATAAAAGGTTTGACTACTTTATGCTGCTCACCCAGAAAAAACAAAAACAGGTTTGTTTTAAAATTATGTAGAGAATAGCTACTTTGACATTATAAAGATGTTTATGACACAGTTCTTTGTAAGTAAATCTGGGACAAGAATCCAGGACACTCAGAGGCATCTGTCCCCAGGTACTTACTGAGCTTGATTTATAGTTTTATTTGCCTCTGGTTATTTTAGGAACAAGGATGCACTGCAGCTCTAAATGAAAAAAATTTTGAAACCAAAATTATTGGATTTAGGTTTTCCGATTGGCCAATAACGGGATAAAATAAAAAACTGGAGGGAAAAGTGTCTTTGCAGCAAATCCAGACTGGTAGGGAATAAACCTCACTGCATTGGTGGGAAATTTGCTGCAGTCATAACTCATCTTGCCCCTCAGGGGTTGTGAGACCTGAAAACCCAGAAGTTGATTCATTAACCTGAGGCCATGGAAAAAAAAAAACAGTAAAACACTGCATTGTGTTTATAAAGCTGGCGTAAAGGAATTCTGTCTGTCCCTGCCTCAGATGCGTGAATGAGAGATCCCTGCAACACGTGGGTCCCAGTGTTTAGTCACCACCACGCCAGATGCTCCCAGCTTTCCATCAATAAAGGGAAAATGATCCCGCCTGTCTGGATAACCATCCCTCCTCTTGTTTTCCACCATAGATCAAAACAAGCAAGTTTTTCCAACTGCTACATTCAGATGCTTTAGTTTACTAAAGTTCCTGAAATAAAGTTTCAACAAGTATTCTCTTTTACAATTTTTATTTGTTTTTCTCATCCACAAATGTGGAGCAGAGGATGATGTGCATTTAATAAAAAATAATCTTTGGTACCTAAAAAAACAAAACCAAAACAAAGTAAGGCAACTAAAGCATCTACAGGTCTGAATGCATTTAGTCAATTGACCACATGCAACAGTATAAGTTGCCTGGATTCTGAAAACAGGCCAACACCTAACAAATCAGTTCCAGTTTTAAAGGTATTTTCTGCCTTATTTAAAACAAGTGTAAAGTTAAGGTAACTGAAATGTCTGAAGGTGCAAACATCACAAACACATACTGAAAGTAGCATTTACAAAGCGAGTTAGGAAATACAAGGCTAAAGCAGGCTTGAAGCATTAACCATTGAAGGATGATTGAGTCAAGTTTAAACAGGAGACTTAAGGTCTTTTTTGGGAGTACAATATTTCTGCTGGTGGACATTCTGTTACATCTTAAGCTGAGGTGGACAATTTCAGGCTGCTTTTGCACTTGGCATAGTTTTTTCTTCCTTTTGTTTAGAGCAAACAATGAATCTATTACAGCATTTTCTGTATTAATCTGCAAGTGTTCATCCATACACAATTACATTTTGCACTGTAAACTGCTGCACTCTTGATGAGATCTGGAGAATAAACCATTTTAACCAACGGATTTTTTTGTTTCTTTAGAACAAATGCAGTGCCAGGTTTGGGCATTTAAAGCCAGACGCATAATCTAAAAAAAAAAATATTCTCAGTAGAAAAGAGGTACAGCAACATATGGTGTTCTTCACCCAAGGTACTGCTTTTGCATCTACATTACTTTCAGCATGTGTTATGTCTGAGATTACATATGATAATCTTTACTGCATTTCAAATACTGTCAAAAAAAGTATTTACATGAATGAAATGTAAAAATAAAATTAAAAAAAAAAGATCAGTTGATGCTGATAAGAATTTACAGAAGATATGAAATAGGATTCCCCCGATTGGAGGTCATGGGATCCAAAAGGAACAAACGGCAAAAGCAAAGTTTAATATGAACCACAGGCACATGAGTCCTTTTCAAACACTTCCTTTCAGTGTTAATATGGAGGATCAGCAGGAAGGATGCCATAGATGAAGATTGCCATGATGGCAGCGCTGATAAGGCCAGAGATGGGCACGGTCACAAACCATGCCATAAATATGTTTCTGAACAGACGCCAGTCCACCGCCTTCTTTGAACGCAGCCATCCTACTGCAACCACAGACCCCACCTGCAAACAAAGCAGCCGTCGTAATTTGAGTCAATCTAAAGACCTTACAGATATATCCATAACCCATGAGCCTTTCCACATTAAGACTTCTAACAAGTAGTTTTTGCAATACATTTACAGAGCACCCCTTATAAAGATGGCTTTATATAAGATTTGTCTGCAAAGTCAAACAAGCAGAGTGTAAAAGAGCACTTTAAAGTAACATTGCATTATAAATTAAGACGACATTTTTTGTGGTGTTCAATAAAATAACTTCACTATTTAAAGTGAATGGTGTACTTAAGGGACCCATTTTATAGTGGGTATTTCTTCAAGTGCAATATCCATGTTTGCTGCCATTATCTTAATCTGACCAGGCTCTTAACCTACATGTTTGCTGTTTTCTATATGAATTTTAAACAATATTTTTTTTCCCCTTCGACTATTTATTCCACTTCATATCACTCTGTCCATTTGTAAACAACTTCTAAAAACTGTAACCAGCCTTACTTTATTTTGGCCAATTACACAAAATCCATTTAGATTTCATGCCCATGATGTGATCAAGTCTGAGGAGTATGAATACTTCTGCAGAGCACAGCAGTGTCTGGGGTCCATATTAGGACCCAGAGCCAGACTGTTTACTTAGACTCTGTCCTAATAAACAGCCTTCCCATTTCTCAGTCAAATTCACAGACCACAATGTTTGACTGGCCTACCTTGCAATGGGTGGTGGAGACAGGCAGACCAATGTTAGAAGCAACCACGACAGTCAGGGCGGAGGCCAGTTCAATGCTGAAACCACTGCAGGGGGAAAAGGAAAAACGTCTTACACATGGATGCCTGACTAACCTGCTACATTACTAATGTAGCAGTAATGTCTGGAATGGATGCGGTTAGGTTTTTTTTTTTGTACCTTGAAGGGGTAATGGGGGTGAGATCTTTTCCCATAGTCTGGATCACCCTGCGACCCCACACCCACAACCCGATGCAGATGCCCACACCGCCGTAAAGCAGAATCCAAATGGGTGTAGCTGCGTTAGAGGTCACGCTGCTCGTTTGGTAAACCAAATACAAAGCTACCAAAGGGCCAATGGCATTGCTGCAGAGGAAAGAGTGAGGTTATTCACACAGTGGGCAAAGAGCTAGGACAAGTTACAATGTCACTAGCTACTTGGCAGACAAACAGGTTTTATCTTATCTCTCTGATGACAAATGACAACATGACCAGCGATATACGGAGTCCTTACCTCACATCATTTCCACCATGGGCGAATGATCCAAAGCAAGCAGTGAGAATTTGGAGGAACTGAAACAGAGTAGAAACTTCAGGCTTGTCTTCTTCATGCCGGTCTTCAACAGAGCTTCGGCTGCTGTTTGCATCCTCGTTTCCTATTTCTAGTGTCACATCACTTTCAACAAGCTCTTCAGGTGTCATGTTCTCCGCTACAGCATTGCAGTAGCTGGTGTAGCTGTCCATACGCACGCGCTTCTTTTCCTGTCCGCCTGACACTGGCCCCTTTTCTCCATCTTCACCTCCACGGATATCTGTCTCTTTGTGCCTGAAATCACTGTGCAAGCCGATGATGGCCATAGTGTATGAGGTGTAGCTGTTATTCCTCCGCATGGGTCGATCACCCGGTTCTCCCATGCAGTCGCCAACCTTGGCCAGGTGGAGTTTGTGCAGCAGGTCTTTATAGAGGCCAGAATCTTTGTGGACCGTATGGTACTGGCAGTAACCGTTACTGGGACTCTGTGCTGGCCTGTTGAACTGACTTTGGTTATTCAAGTGAGCCTGACTGGGAGCATTTGTAGAGCCATTGCTTTGTAGGTTGTTGAGCTGGACTTGGTCATTTGTTGGATTCGGTTGTGCTGCAGGCAGAAATGCATAGCTTATTATACAGTTGGAAGTACTTTATACATTACGAATCTGCTAGATTGTGTCTATAGAATCCATTATTCAGTAGCTGTTCAAAAAACAATAAAATTGTTACAGAAATCCAGGCTGAAATTCAACCACTAATTTTGTCTTTTTTAACTTACCATTTGTATGGCAGTCCTCCGTGTCGTCCGAATCGCCAATGTTAAAAGCAACCTTGCGTTCCTTATTCAATTCTGCCTCTTCGGGCTCCCCAATATCAAACGCCACCCTCCGTTCCTCTGGGACAGGCTGGGATTCAGAGGAGTTCTGACTGACAACCGGCGCAGCAGGAGAAGACGTCTCCTTGGTAGTCTGTTTCAGGATAGGACAGTGAGCCTCTTTGAGCTCCTTCTTTTCCATCAGGGGGCTCTCAGAAGGACTGGAAGACTTGATATCGCCTGGCAGGAAAAAAAACAAGGCAAGATCGCATATGTAAACCATCCAGCAGAGATAACCAAAGAGTAAATATTTGTGTTCTTCATAATCTGAAATTTCGTAAGACTTGTGTAATTAGAGAATCAAAAGACCATTGTCCTGTAAAAGTAATGCTACCCATGTTTAAAACTGATCCTCTGTTTTAACAGGATCAGATAGATGGATTAGCAGTACCATGTGTACATTACTGCAAAGAGGTTACATAATCTGAGAACAGCAAACAACCTGTTCTCAGATTGCCAAGGAAAACAAATTTCATACATTTCCTGTAAATTACAAAAATTCCAGGAAGTAAAGCTTGATATCACCTCCCATCTTTTTTCTTTAAACCAGCAAAGGAGGCTATGTGAGCACCTCAAGTCAACCCAGGCTTATTTTAGTCCTGGAGCTAAATACCTATTAAAGGATCACTTTGACCCAATTAACCGACCTTAAAAAGGTGGACAGAAGCTCAAAGAATCTATGGTCAGATAAACCCAATGATTCAATAAGACCTACTTTTTGTGTTGCATCACATTTGAAGGTCATGTTACAATAGAGGTACCACCAAGTCAGTTTAAAGGGTACAAAAGCCATGTGAAAAGGATTAACAAGGTGTGCTGCTCTACAGTAGAACCGTTGATTTGAGGGAGAAAAAAAATAATCCAGGATTATGAAGCACAAATAGGTGACAATACTGTCAAGTGACTCATCCAGTCAAATCCACAGCTAGAATACATCTCTTAGCCCCTTAGCTCTATTCACAATTGGGTTTAGGTTAAAATGAGAAAAGGTACCTCACTCAATTGTTCACCAGCCCTTAAAAACTCATCAGGAGTCAAAGGAAGCTGGTTATAGCAATTTAACACTCAACCACACTTGCACAGAAACAGTAAAAACACATAAGTGGACTTACGTGCAATCTTCTTCTTGAGGTGAGGGCAGACAATGAACCAGACCACAAGGGCAGTCACCAGACCACAGGCCAATGAGATGAGCAGGATGCCCCACGGAGGGATATAGTCAAATCCCAGCACTGAGAGATCACCAGGATCCACAAAGAAAAAGATAAACAAGGCAAATAGAGAAAGAGCATTTCATAAGACAAGGCAGCAGAGGCTACCTTAATAAAGAATAGTCCTGAGCACATAACTGGGAAAGGTCCTCCTTATACATTATAGACATTGTAACTGAGTACTGCACCATTGTCTTATAGCTATAAATGCAAAGTGAGGAACATAAATAACATGATCCCTATGAGTCCAGCTGACAAATACATGTGAATGCCTTTAAAAAAAATAAATTACAAAAAGGCAGGCAAAATAATTGCATACAGCAAATTTTCACCGTAGTCAGGGTAACCTCTTGCCAATACTGCAGCAAAGCTGGTGCAGCACATTTCAAGCATCTTATTTGAATTTCCCAGCAGAGGTAACCATCTTTGTCTAACAGTTTGAGTCAGCAGTGATTGCTCTTAGGGGAAAAAGTATTTAAAAAAAATAAAAACACACCAAAAACAACCCAGTTATGAGTGACCTTGGATGTGTGCATCATGACTTGTTTTGACAGTTTAAGATTAAAGGAAATGAGAGCCAAGGATTCATGATAAGCGTGTCCGCTTTTATGTTAATTGGAGGACAGAGTCCACACTGACAGTGTGCTCTCTCACCGTGTCACAGTGCAGCAGAAGACTGCAGAGCACTACTGATGTTTGTTCAGTTGCGCAATGGAAGCTCTCCCTCCCCTTGGGACTGGCATAAGACAGCATTGACAAGAGGGCTGGCTTCAGCTACAATACCAGGTGTTGGGCAACTTACTTATAAGAGATGATATTGGGACAATTTATAGAGAAGTAAAATGGTGTTCGCTAGAATACCACTTCCACATAGAGTGTGTGAGTTTATCTCACAAGCACACAATACAGGAAATGAAGTTAACCACGACTATATTCCAAACCCCTCCTCGTAACCTTGGTATTTGTGGCCTACATAACAACAATATGGCCTGTTTTCCTTCCCCTGCATGTTAAAATCCACTTCAATAACAAATCACTAGTAAAACCACCCCTTTATGACTCATTTGCCTGTAAAGTTTTGTTTCTATGAGTAACTAAGTCTAGAGCAGCAACAAAACATTGTATACATTTTTTTGTATACAACTGTGTTATTCTGGAATCTTTAATCAAGTCTATACTTGGACTAGATTTACTTCATAAAAAGTGTTGTATTGTTGCAAGTTTTATGACGCATTTCCCCACTTAACTAATATTAGTGCTGATGTTTCAATCATTTAAAACTAACAACTGGAGAAGAGCAACAGCAGTTGAAGGAATTGGAAGATGAGTAGACCACAGGTATTACCAAATCATCCATAAAGCATAATCAGCTGAAGTGTGCTGTTGGAATCCAGGGCTATAATTGTTGTTTTTTTTTTTCCCCTCCATTTGCCAAAATAAAGTGCTCTCCATCTCACATTGCTGTTTATAAACAGTGTAGCAACATGGCCGGGGGTTTCCAGTCACTTCATTCTGCTAAAATGTTGAATTGGAGTCTTGCAGCACTCTTGTACTCTGTGCATTGCAAATACTAATGCGACTGCTGCACTGATGCAAATAAATAAGTCAACGCCCTTTTCTGAAGCAGAAACGCAGTTCTAAGATGGTATGATAAAATTTAAATAATATTTCCCAACATGTATTAATATAAGCCCATTCTGGGGATCTCTTTCCACATGTTGTGATTGTTCTTTAACTGAATACCTGATGTAAATCTAACCACTGCAAGTAATCCTAGGCTAATGTGATTAACACAAGGTGGCTTGGCAATATCTCTAAGTGAAGTCTCACACCTTTTAATGCGAGGCACCCGTTTACTGGTCCTCACGTATTGTACGTTCCGATGCAAGGGGCATCAAACAACTTTGCTGAATGTGTCTGACTAAGCCAGGCTATCTATGCTCCAAGTGCATGTGATCTCCTCTGAACACGCCGATGTGCATGCACATCTGCACACCAAATGTAGTCAAACTCTGGCCTGTAGCCACCATTTAAAGGGCCCAGGCCAGCTAACATCTTGAACTTTTTGGCCCTGCAGAGAGAAAAAAAAACAAAGGAGCAAAAGCGTCTCGTTTAATAAAGCGTTCTGGAAGGTGAATATAACCAACATATCAAGAACAAGAGCAACAACCAGAAGCAAAAAATTACAACCACTTTATCACATTTTTACTTCTCTGAAGTCTGAAGAACACTGATGCCCAGAGTTAATTCTAGTTTCCATGCCCCTGTTGTGCTCCACTCTTAAACTTCATTCCAGCTATGACCCACACAGAACCACAAACAAGAGGGCCTAAAAACATGTTAAAATAAACACGGCTTCTGTGAAAACGGTAAACAGTGTGGTTCTGTCTGGAATATATGTGTGGGCATCCGGCTGTCTGAGGGAGCTGTTTATTTTAGGTTGTGGCCACTGGCAGTCACGTAAAGAAAAACAAGACAATGATACTCACCCGGAGCACCAGTGTACAATATGGAGAAAAGGTTGATTGCCATGGTCACAGCGTAGAAAACAGGCAGAGCCTTCAGGCCGTTAGGTACAGGGTCTTTCTGTGGTACAGAAAAGCAATTCAGAAATTGTTCTGTGGCAATACTGCAGCCTGATTTCACTACCAAATTACAGCTTCAAGGTCATAAACACAATGTGATCCATGCAGATGCACAACAGAACAGGAGAGCAACAAAAGACATCTAGTTCCTGTCTCACTATAGATTAAATATTTCAATCAATCCTACCTTTTGTAGAATGAACATGCGTATTAAGTAGAAAACAATGCCCGACATTATTCCAGACAAAACGGGACTCAGGAACCAGGAACCAACTGAAAACAGATCACCAAAACTTGAGTATAAAACAGGCAGGAGTACAAAAACACTGACTTCATAAGACGTACAATAGAATTAAAAGTTTTTTTTTTTTTATGCATTTACGAGATTCGTGTATTGCAAATAATTTGCACTAATAAAATGGCCGCCTTACCTATACGAACGAGCTCCAGCCACTTCACTCCTTGCTGACCTTTGGCAACCAATGAGAAACCAATAGTAGCACCAACGATGCAGTGTGTTCCAGATATGGGGAGCTTAAGAAAAGAGGCAGCCAGCTGCCATACAGCAGAACCTAGGGAAATAAATCAAGGATTACCTTCAGTAAAAAAAAAAAAAAAAACACTGTATAGGATAGTGTAATTATCGTTATCATCTGCATTACATTTCAAACAGACATTAGCCCCAGGTCATCAAGTTACTTACCAACCATGGCACTGACAGATCCAGCCATCAGCGTGTGCTCAGACCCATTGTACATGCGCACGTCGATGATGCCCTTACGTATGGTTTCGCTCACTTTTGCCCCAAGCAGCACAGAACCCAGAGTCTCAAACACTGTAGCCAGAATGCAGGCCTGTCGCAAGGTCACGACCCCAGAGCCAACAGCTGTGCCAAATGAGTTTGCAACATCGTTGGCACCCACAGAAAAGGCCAAGACAAATGCAATGATGAAGCCAACAATAAGCAGCCAAAGGTACTCCGTCAGAGGAGTGTTGGTCATTGCTGCTACAGTAGTAGTCAGTATAACTGCAGCTGTAGTTGGAGAAACCATGATTGTAGACTATATAGGAATACCTTCACAATTTTAAGGGAAAGCAATACAAATACTTTTAATGGGGCTACTTTTAAAAACAGTAGCCAGTAAACTCAAGAGGTATCGGGTAAATAAATAAATAGATTTCTACAGGACCACCTGCATTAACAGGATTACTGAGGTCCAGCAGTGCAAACTAGTGAAAATCTGGGGCTGACCAGAAATCAGTTAAAGTAAACTAGAGGTAAAATAAGAGATTTATTGCTATCCAGTAATTAAACGAGATCTTTTGCTGCTGTGTTGGTGCTTGGCTGTCAAGCAGAGGGTGAAACCAGCCATTGTGCAAATGTTACAGCTGGTAGGCAGGGGGACATTCTGAAAAACAAAAAAACATTTGTATGAAAAAAAGTGACTAGAGAATAACAAAAAAAGAAAACCACATACAGAATTTCTTATACGTATAACAGGACTGCATTAAAATAAGATAAACACTAGGGGCTGCAATCACCGGAAGATCGTCAGCTGCGTGCTTTCCAGAAAAGAGGAAGCCATATTTAGGAAATGGCGCACGAAGAGTAGAGGCTATTAGCACTTAAAAAACGATCCGTATCCAAGAGAATGTTTCAGCATCGATGTTTACCTACCCTTAATCGTGTAAATCATTCAAAGTGGTGCAGAGACTAAAAAAAAAAAACCGCTCCGTTATGTTAAATATAGACACTGCTTTGCTACGTCTGCACGTGTCATTCATTCACACTTGAAGAAAAACCATTCCCCTTGTGATCGTGAGGCTCGAACAGGCAGTAGGCTACAACATAGCTGTCGCAAACGGCTTAAATTCATTTTCTGACGGCCATACTTGCCGCCGTGTGTAATAAACCAATTCTAGGTTATACAAGACGAGTTTGTTTTTTTTTCTCCGCCAAAGGGGGGATGCAACCGGATGAGAGTCAGAATGAGTGTCATATGTTGTTCCACTTTAACTTAATGTTCTACCAAAAGCTTCCAAATCTCTAATGTGTATTTTTTATGTATATATCACTAATGTCAATATTTAGAGATCTATTCTAAAACGGTCTTAGTGTGTCAATTTATATAAAGCCATACGCCCTGTATCATATATGTGGCGATAGTAGTAATTAAATCAAAAGATTACATAAAATATTTATTTAGCTTGTATTTCGTTATTCTTATTAATTCTGCTAACAGCTCATATACAGTCTGTTGTGTCATTGTACGATGTACCATCTGCTAGATGCTAACACCGATCGTTCAAACAAGTCTTAAGTAAATTGTCATGCCAATAACCAAAGAAAATATGTTGAAGTGTTAACAAAAGATATTAAAGTAGTACACTTACCAATCGTTACAGCAGTCAGTCGTGTAGAAAATACTTCCTTTTAGCCGGTAAGCTAATTAGCGCGCGCGCGCACAAAACGGCTGGCTTCGATAGCGCGCGCGGGATAATGAATAATTAAAGCGGTTATAAAAAATGTCTTCAAAAGCTGTATCTAGAATAAATTATAAATATTCGAATGAAAAATTGTACGCAAGACTACGCCTAAAGAGGAAAAATACTATCGATGAAAACGCGTTTCAAGTTCTAGAAACGTCTCCGTTTGAATGGAAGCTTCTCTACCGCATGTATGAAACTTGCTCACGCCGGTTCTGGGAGGCGTCGGGCTTCCTTCTTTATTGGATGCGCCCTTCAAGAGGCCCCGCCTCTCTCTGATTCTCCTTCACGTGATCGGCGCATGTGGCCTCCCCGCCCCCGGCAGAGGAGCCGCTTCTGTCGTAACAAAACCAGGGATGGGTCGGATTTCATTGTGAAATTCGAGTTTGCTCCAGATACAATGAAAAACAAGGATATTCCTTTTCTTAATGGGAAAAAATCTTCAAATTAATACCTTTTACACAACGAGCATAATGTTCTCTCATATTTTAATATAGGCTTTACAAGGAATAAAGCAGTTGTTTAATCCAAATCATATAAGGACGAACATTAGATTAAGTCATCGACTTTGCTTTAATCCCTCTTCCATTAAAATGATTTAGTCACAATGGACACTCAATTTCATTTGTTTGTTAACTTTCCAGCAATCCCTCATAGTGCACATAGCAGAAATAAAAACTCCCCATTAATAGGAAGAAATTTCCAGTACAAAATGGCTCTAAAAGAGCAGCAATCTGCCTGGACTTCACACACTACCCTAGTTCAACAGTACTTTTTGATACATTATAGCATCTTTCATGGCTTCATATAGAAAGAGAGAAATTTAACTAAACATATAAGCCCTGTTACAAATAAACAAAAATCTATAGTCTAAAGACAGTACTGATCCAGAAAGTAATGAAAGCTACAATAATGAAAAAAACATTTCTCTTATTTTCACTTAATTGTTAGGCTATTTTTGTTGGTGTATCACATGAAATACAAGTAAAATGATACGAAATGTTGTGTAAAAGCCATTGCACTGTAGCTTTACACATATTGACATAGAAAATGATCAAAGCATGGTACCAATATAAATTTAAACTTAAAAAACAGCCACCTTCAGCAGCAACATCTTCCACACTTCATGTTTGAAGATGAATTTAACCCCGATGTTCTTTTAAAAAAATGGTACATTTAACAGAGTGTTCCAAAAGGTGTCAGATGTTAATTCTTTAGCAGAGGGTTTTCTCTGGCTTGTTCATTTTTTTCATCTGCAGTGGTGTTTGTTGATTGTTTTCCATCACATATAGGTCCAGGAAGGAAGAAAGGGTCAGATTTGATTGGATTTACTTACAAGAAACCATAGACATTTGTCAATTATTGTTTAGGATTTACTTGAAATCAGTAAAAGATTGCAGGAATTATGACTGTAGGAAGGAAATTGTAAACATAAACTATACAACTGGTGATTAAAAAAAAAAGTATCCATTTAGCCATTTTCTCCTGCTTATCCCGTCAGGGTTGCAGGGTGGCTGGTTTTTATCTCCACTAGTCTAAGGAGGAAAGGCGGTGTAAACCTTGGACTGGTTCCCAGTCTGTTGCCAATTAAAAAATATATATTACTTAAAATATGTTTTTAACATGTTTTAGTATCATAAGGCATAAAAATGTAATAAATTCTTGAAAATTCCCAGGGCAATCTTGAAATCATATTAGTGATTGACTTAAAATCACAATGAATTTTAAAGTATTCACATCAGATCTGCACTGTGATGTATGGGAGAATTCAAACACTGAAGGTGTTGGAAGGGTCCTAAACAACCTGCAAGATTATGCCTAAAGCAAGCTTCTGGTATGATAAAAAATATTGAATGGAGTCTCTACAAAGAGAGCTGCATTTAAAATGCATGATGTTTCTGCGGCATAGATTCACTTGCAAAAAAAGATAAACCTGTAAGGGAGAAGCAATATAAGGCCTTAAAGCATCTTTTCATTGAAACTCAGCGTCTATTTTTTTTTTACCAGCATTCCAGTTCTTTAAGTGATGCCACAGAGTCTCTGTTAGATTTTGTTTTTGGATTATGGTAAGAAAATTTCCAGGTATTCATTTTGTGGTTGTTCAGCCCTTGCTTTGTTGCCTCGGTGTACGCTTTGTTATTTTAAAGCTGAAAATGAAAATCTTCTCTTAAATTTTCTGCCTGATGTGTTACAGTGAACAATGACTAGTACTATTCCACCCACCTTAACACAACATCTGTAAACACAAGTATTATATATCATGATACTGAAATCACTATATCATATTTGTTTTTTTGTTGTTATTGTTTTTTTGTTTAGTTTTTTGCTCTCTAAGTTCATGCCTTTGGGATTGTGGCCCAGAGTTCTCTGTTTGGTTCATTCTGACACTAACAGGTTCTGCCACACTGTTTTGACAGATGTTATCTAGGTACTGTTGTTTTCTTTAAAGCAAAAGTTTACCTGTGACCCTTCTCCTTTGTCCACACATATGGAAATTGCTTCCCTTTACCATCAGCCTCTTGGGTTTATGGTACGCTAGTCTCCTTTATTTACAATAATGTAAAGAAAATTCTTTTTTTTTTATTAATCCATTATCATCTTGAGTTATCGATGACTATGTTAATTTTAATTCAATTAATTTTTTTTATATATACATCATCTCGACGCACTTTACAATTCAACAAGATCACACAGTCAAATTGATTCAAAGTTTTCTATCTAAGGAAAACCAGTTGATTGCATCGACTCATTGCCTCAAAGGCAATCTCACACACCAAGCATGGTTGTGGCGACAGTGGAGAGGAAAAACTCCCTTTAAACAGGAAGAAACCTCCAGCAGAACCAGACTCAGGGTGAGCGGCCATCTGCCGAGGCCGACTGGGGTTCAAGGAGACAGAAGCAGACACACAGAAAGAAGCAGAGATACAAAAGGAAAGTGTCAACCAGCTCGAAAGGCCGCCCCCTCCAGGAAACACAGCCAGGCAGACAAGCTCCAAGCCAGCCCCAATGTCAGAAGATGAATAGAGCACATCCAGCCAGTCACAGTAGGAGAAACAGGACTACACTGAAAAACAGGCCAACCTTCAACATCTACGTTAGTTCACAGCATATATTCAATTTGCTTAAGATTTCTTTTTACACCCTTCTCCTGACTGATACTTTAATACATGAGCTCATTTTGATCTTTTGTAACAACTCTGCAAACTCTTGGTTAAAAGACAGATGAAGATCTGATGAACGAATCCTGCTTTACTTTACTTTAGCTTCACTGTGAGAAATAATGTGACTAAGCTCAAGGATAGTGATTCTGAAAGTAAACAAAAGGTGAATCGCAAAGTGTTTTTAACAAAGTAATGCAGTGTAGTACAGGTATATGCTGCAAATAGGTTGGCCATCAGGTTGCCCCACCTCTTTATGTTTTAAAATATACCACCCTCAAACATTTTTTGTTGATTTGAACAGCAAACATGCACCCAGTAAATACCACAGAGTTAAATATGCAGTGTCAAAGCACATTGACTCTCTTGGAGTAAGGTTTATGCAATGTAGAGAGTTAATTTACTCTCTATATTATTGAACTATATTTTATTCTCTATACCTTATTCAGAGTGGGACCAAATCCACTTGGATTGGTGTTAAATTTACAATTTTTTTGTCATGACATAGAACATTAAACGCAGAATAAGGATAGCATTGTATTTTTATTCCAAGTTTTAACAATTTTGTCTGGGCAATGCTTTCGAACAACAAATGGAGATGGAAAAACACTTTGACACACCGGTACACTTCCTTCTTAGAACTGAACATAAGACTGAACCGTCTTCTTTTTTTTTTTTTTTTTTACCCTGAACTGAAAACTTTTCCCTGAATTTGAATGCAGGAAGTGACCTCTTCTTGGGAGACAATCCCTGCAGAGTTCATGTCTGAACAGGTTATAACCAGACTGGGTTCCAGAAAAGTCACTGGACTTGAAAGTCGTGATCCAGAACAGAATACCATAAACCATTTAGAAAAAAGACGCGGGCTATTATAATAACTAAAATGAAACATCATGTTCTCTGAGTCATGCTGTATTTCCGTCTCTGCCCCATCCACAGAAATGTTTGTAAATCAGCCAAATGTTTTTTATCGCTGTTGTTACTTTAATAAAGAAGATATTATTTGGAGTTATGGTGAAAAAGAACTCTGGCCTAGCCATTCACGATCTGATTTCCATACAAATGGATAAACGAGGTCAGGTTCAAACAAAGCAGGGAAACAGTCTGAGCCAGGGATCATGGACGCATTACAGAAGACTTGTCAGTTATTGAGGTGCATCCAGCTGAAAATGATAACACCCACACTAGCATAAATGGCTTTCTTTGGTCACTGCTGGTTTATATCGTCAACAGAGATCCATTATGTATAGGTTAAACAAAGGATACAGGGCTGATTCATTGTTAACGGGAAAAAAGGTGCTTTGTTTTACCTTTTGTCTACTTTTCCCATTGTTTAATTGACATTGCAGCTTTAGGGATCATGGAAAATTTTCCCTGGGCAAAACAGGGGTTTGTAATTGTATTGCCAAGTACCTGAATAACAGGAGTAGCAATGGTACAAGAAGTCTCCAACTGAACATTTATGGTTTTACGATGGTAATTTCCAGAACTTTGTCCATAACCTCTAAAGATATAATTTGTGTCATCTTCAGCTCCCACTTTACACAAACATAGCAATTAACCGATATGAAAAACTCTTTTGTTTACCTCAACCAGAGGTCAGGGAGAAAATAAAACTTCAGAAAAACAAGTACAACGACTCCAAAGTGTGTTTCTTAACTCTAACCTCGCAGTCACATGATGCCGAGCTTCACCACAGTTTTTATGAGAAACAAACACATGATCTCAAACAATACTCTACGGACTAAATTCAGTGTTTTTCTGGTGATATGTATGTTATCGAGGTAGCGATTCCTCTGTAAACACACATTTTGGGTTTCTATTGAGGCTTTAGATTTATAGGTTGCACCAAGTTTGCAGGGTTACAGTACCTTTTACAAATCTTAATACCCCTTAACCTTTTCACATTATGTTCACATGATAACTCCAGGATTCAAATGCAATGCATAAAACGTAGTGTAATTAAACAACAGAAGTAGTGGATGACTGTGAAGCAAGGAAAGCATTTGCAATTGAAATTTCTTGCAAAGAAAATTAGAAAAGCATCAAACACATTTTCATTCAGCACCCATTTTACCTTAAACACCTAAACTGATACAACCAATCGAAATCAATTATAACCAAGGACCTTTAGAAGTATTCTTCTTAACACAGCACAACTTTGTGATATTACTTTTTAAGAGTGATAGCAGCATTATGTGTTACTGGCAACAACAACGCCGGTAAGAGATAACAGGATCATTGTTGGTCCAACAATAGCGAAAAAAGTGAGAAAAAAATAAACAAAAAACAAACAAAAAAAAAAGACTGTTAAAGGCTTCAAAAATCTTCAGTGGTTAGAGATTCACCTCCCATAAGAACAACAACGCAATCCATGCAATGGAATGGGTAAGATTAGTGGTTTCCAAACTAATAAGGACCCACAATATAATAGTGGCTGAGAATTGTGATCTCGAGTAACATGCATTATTGCATTAATTTAATTAAACAGCCACTTTAATTTTTGTAACCTAGTTTAAAACCAGGTTATAAAAATTTCAGACCTTAAACATATTAAAGAGATGTGTCAAGAATTCAAACTAACACAATCTTAGTTCTTTATATTTTTTAAATAATCCTGGAAGAAAACCTGACAGAGACTGCAAAGTCCCTGGGATTAGGGTGAATGTTCACCATCCAGCAGGACAACTCTAAAGATACAGCCAAATCTTTAATAGAGTGGCTTATATGAGAGCATGTTGATTTTATATTGGCCCAGTTATGAGCCAGAACTGAAGCTAACAGAGAATCTGTAGCAATGCTTAAAATAAAGAGTTTATGTTTGCGTACACCCTTCTTCCATTCATCCCGAGGTAGTGGCACTTTAATAATAATAATTGAACTTTATTGATCTCACATTGGAGAAATTTACCTCTGCATTTAACCCATCCAGTGTGGGGTTAGGGGTCTTGCTCAGAGAGCCAGAGTGGCAGTTTGTGGGAGTGGGGCTCAAACTCAGAACCTCAGGATTTCAAGCTCTATGCCCTAACCACTGGGTGCCACTCCCCTGAATTTATAAGCATTGAGCAAAATTATTTTAGTCTACAAAGTTTAAAAGAAACAAACAAACAACTTAATTTAGCTCAAAAAAATGCCAATAGTCTAGCACATAAAATCACCAACTACATAGACCGATGGAAATTTGAGAAAAAGTACAATTCTTCAGGAGTTGCGGATATTTTTCTATGGGACTGTAAATACAAATTTAGAAAGCTAAAGTCACTTCTCAATAGCTATCAAATTAATGTGTGTCACAAAAATGTTGATGAGCTTAATTTTCTGCTGCAGCTTATCTAAACTGCAAGAGTTGCATATTGGGACCTCTGATTCAACACATCTTTTATGCAAGTAAAACAGCGCCCCCTGGTGTACACTATGTTAACAAATTTATTGTTTGTACTGTCCTTAATCCTTTTTTTTTCTTCATGAGATTCAACCAATTAGAATTTATTTAAAAAATAAGACGCGAGAAAATGCTTTAAAAGCATGGATCTGTTTGGCAAATTCTGTAACTAGAATAAGTTAGCTGACAGTGTTAACTGAGACATCATAAGTTTAAGTATGTCTTCCAAGTTTTCTGTAACTACCTCTGTCATGATTCGCTGCAGGTGATTTAACTCTAAGTCTTGTCTTTTTTTTTTTTTTATGTATGAATTGTTTTTCCAAAAGACTTTGCATTATTAGTTTAATTTATTTCTTTATAACACAACTCGATTTAAATACCCATATGTTCCTGTTACATGCAAACCGCATTTGAACCAGATACTGTTTAATCTTATACCACCAAAGGTTTAATTAATGTATAATGATTTCCTCCAATCCATTTAGTTATGTTTTCCTATTTGTCCAACTTTTCCTTAAATGATATAAAGTCAGTTGCTTGCTGACTCTTACCCCCAGTGTTTTGCCATTTTATCATTAGCCTTCTGTTTGATTTCCTCTGTACAGAGGTATAATGATTTTTAATTAGACCACTTTTGTAGCTTATGCTGAATATTTGTCTGCAAGCTCATTTCATTTTTTTTGTACCTTTGAGGCAATCCATATAAAGGTTATTGTTAGCCCCAGAACTTAAAATAAAAAGTCTTATCTGCTGTCTAAATAATTGTGCTTAAATTTATATAATAATCAACTAGAATCATTCAAAAGAGGAAATAGGATTAGTCCAAATATGTTTCCTGTCAATAATTATTTGATCTCTTTTAAAACTGTATTCTGAAACAATAAATAGATTGACATTTTGTTATTTGAGTCTTCAATCATCCAAACAAAGTTGGATTTGTTATCTGGATTTGCTTTTATGATAAATGCTCTATTTACTGTTTCAATTCTCTTGAGTAAGAATGTTTAAGGCCTTTCCATAACAGCTGGATTAGTAATGCATGCAACACTTTTCGTAATTATATTTGAGCAAAAAGTAAACCTCCTTTGAAAAAAAAAATCTATTATTTTCTTTACTTTGCAGGTATAATTATTGGTATGTTATGATTAAAACATTGGTATGATTAAAACATGAGAAAAGTTTTTTGGTTGTAATGTTACAAACTGAAAATATTTCCTGAATAGTTTGTCTTAAAAAAATTTCCAGAAATAACTGGTGTTTACTTGTCTGGGTGGTCAGTTTTTCATGCCTTTCTTCTTTTTTTCGTTTAGTTGTGTTGACTTTTGTCGATTGACTTTAAATCAATATTGCTGCAATGAAATAATAAAAAAGAACAGCAATAGAACCCAGCAGATTTTTTTATTTAACTAGCAATGTACATTTTGAATTTTGCCTTAAAATATTCTTTTAAAATGCTCACTTTTTTTTTTTTTTTTGCATAACTAACTGTATTTTTCATCAGCGCCACTTGAGGGCGACTTTTACTACTTCCTTCTTAAATCTGTCTATTTCTGCTTTTCGTTGATACCGATCCTAGATCAGGCTTTACGTTTAAGCTTTAGTTTGCAACGCAGGGAGGTTCTACGGGATTAAGGACAAGATAGCCGACCCAGGATCAGTAAAAGAGCTGACCGTTGGCTGGCTCTTCTTTAAAGCAAAGCATACAAACTTGCTAGTGTGTTTCCGCCTAATTAAGACAGTCATGCATATGGACCAATTAGAATTGTTATACGCTGCAAACTTCCGCTTAGGTGGGCGGGGCTTATGAGTGGGCGTGCAAGATTCAATAGGAAGAGGAGGTCAAATGATCTAGGAGAGTTTTTGGAAAGCGTGAGGTTGTCAATACGAGAGCTAAACAGGTCAACGGAGGTCCAGTATGACCACACAGTTCATCTAGCAAATTTAAACGGATCAGTTTGCAGATATAAGTGGCTTTGCAGGGGATTTGTTTCTTTGTTTGTGGCGCAATAGCTTGTCTGAATGCCTGCTAGCTAATGCTAACGACACATGTAGCGAGTACGCAAAAGATTGACTAACAGTTGCTAGCAAAGTGAAGTTATGGTCATAAGTAACTGAGCTCGCGCTTCTATAGAACATCGGATTGATCTATGGTGGTTATTTCCGTGGAGTTAGTTTTTTGTTAGCTAGCTCTGTAACCTTTCAGCCGCTGTCCTGTCTTTGGTATTTTCCTCTGGGACCTTGTGTCACGGTCATAACTGTCAGTCATGTTTCACTCTGTGCCTCGGCGTCCCATCTGCGAGATCGGTGTAAACACGATGAGGCTCCAGAGCCGCAGGTCTCTGTGGCGAACGGTGGAGGAGAGAGGGGAGAATCTCCAGAGTTTCCCCTGGCTGGGAAGGAACGTGGGCCTGCTGCTGTCATGGCTCCAGAGGGCAGGTGTGGGGACCTCCAGGGGCCCGGGTCAGAGGAAGAAGAAAGGACTGCTGTCCATATTCGCAGATCATTGCGGCTTCGTGACCGGTCAGAGGCTGCGACGTGCCTGCCAAGTGGGCGAGCTTTACTCCAACCTGTACTCCGAGAGAACCAGGTGGACCCTGATCGGCAACATATGGCGCAGATTTCAGAACAGTCACGCCCCTACCGGGAAGCTGATGGCGGCCCTTGCAGGGGTGTTCATGTGGGAAAACGAGAAGATTCAAGATGAAGAGATCCGCAGGTGAGGATCCCATCTTTTACCTGCAACATGGATATATCCGTGCAATTATTTGCTGCAAACTAACTTGTCAACATAGAGGTGTTTTCATACCTTAGTGAACTGAACACCCAACAGTTGTCCTAGTTACTGATCATTTTAAAGCAGCAGGGATTTTTCTTGTGCATTTTGCATATGATTAATGATATTTCAGTGAAAAATTAAGAAATCACATTAGAACAGAACTTAATAGTGAAGGTAACTTAATTTGCTATTGAAGGGCATTAAAGTTGTGTATTGTATAACTTTTTAAAATCAAGCCTAAAAAGATACTTGATCTATGAGTCTGTAAAATAACTTGGCATAATATAAGAGTCATCACTGCAGTCCTTGGTTGCACTGTTTGAAAGGCTATAATATTACATGTCCTTGCATTCATGCGATTGATGCCAACATTCTGCTTTGCCCCTGGCTGGACTTTTTGTTGGCCCTTGTTCACTACATCTTATATAACCCCTGAAGAAAACATTATGGGGATCAAAATGGTGATGTATGAGAAATGGGGGTTAAAAATTAAGGCTTAATCACAACTAACATTGTTTTAGCATTAAAGAATAAAATCCCAGCTGCATGCTTCATCTAACTAAGTCTGTTGTCCGCTGGTTTAAAGAGCTGCACTTTTAAATATAGATTTTAAAATTGTATATCTTAAATAAAAGTGATTTATTGGATTTTTTTTTTTGCTTGAAACAGTTTTTCACGAAAAATAAATATTCCCCAGCCACCTTAGACTTAGACAAACTTTATCATTTTGTATGCAGAGATTGTATACAAAAACGAAAGTCCGTCTCCTACAGCTTACAACATTAAATGAACATTATACCATTATAAAGTGCACCAGTGATTAAGAATGTAAACGGAGTAGGAGAAAAGACAGCTGTTTAAATGAATGGTGCAAAAGGGCATTAATATGAAATGGTTCAGTGCAGTGCAAAATAAATATGGTGCCAATTGCAGTAGAACATTTTAGTTGTGTCCTTTTTAAAGGGATTATAAAAGTTCAGCACATTGGTATATTGCAAAACAATGTTGCAAGTGTGATGCAGAGTCCAGTTTAGAGTTCAACAGTCTGATGGCAGCGGGTAACAAAGCTGTTGCAGATTCTGCTGGACCTGCAGAGGATGCTGCGAAGCCTCTTCCCAGAGAACGGCAGGGAGAACATTCCATGATGGAGGTGTGAGGGGTCGTTGATGATGTTACCGGCCCAGGACACACAGCGCTAGGGTGAAATGTCCTTAATGGATGGAATGAGGAGCCCAGATGGCTAATTTGTTTTTCTACTGACTAGGAAAAAAGTTGAACACGCAGAGTAAAGCAACAAGTAGAGAAGGGACAGAATATAGCTGTAGTAGGTGTGGATCACTCCATCTCTTTGTCTGCCATCTCACATAAGGACTTTAAACTATGTGACCAGTTTAATCGAAGATGTCACCAATTTGAAATTGGAACTTATTTTGACTATGCACCTGTAATCAGCCAATTCCTCCATTTATGTAAACGGTTATTACAAGCCTATTCATGCTGGCTTAGCTTATCTGTGATTTATCATGTTAGTTGTAACTCTTGTGCTAATGGTATTCTAACGCTGGCATCTCTTTAAAGATGTGGACTTGAGCTTGAGGCCATGGAGGCTGTGAAAAGCCTATGCACACCCTCTGCTACTGTGGCTGGACAACCAGACAGTGGCTGGGAAGCTGTGGTGGAGAAGAAGGATTTCAGAGTGTGGAAGAGGCCTATTCCCAACAGTCACCTCTATGAATATCGAGGTTGGCATCATTGCTTTCTGACACCAGGTTTCTTATCTGCATGTGTCAGAACCATCTGAGTTTGTATTTCTGCAGACTAAATCTATTTTGTTTTGTTTTTAACTGCAGTATTGGGTTCCTACAATGATGTCACACCAAGACAGTTCTTCAATGTACAGGTAAACTCATTAATCTTATTTTCTACTAAGCCTATTTCCTGTTCAGCAGAGTATTAATGTTAAACTATAGCTTTAGAAGATGATTAAGAATGGTAAACTTTAGAGTTATTTCTCAGTCTGGAAACATTGGCTTTTTAAAGGAGGAGGAAAAATAATATTTTAAGTGTAGAGAAGTAAGAAAAAAGAAGCATGGAAAAATGCTTGCCTTAATCCAGAAGAGAATCACTGGAATTTCTAATAGTGCTTTGTACCTTATCTTATTTTTAGATTAAAGCAAAGGTTTATGTCACTAGGTTTATTTGTCTTCGAGAGCCTCTGGGATCAGGATTAAAAAATGTTTTACATTCCAAAAAAATAAGATGATTTGTTCAAAACAGAAACTGACATTAAAAACTACTATCTGTGTTTTAAAATAATCTGTATTTAGTGTACAGTAAGTGAATCCTGTCCAAATGTTAAGTTTGCAGTTTTATTTAAAATTTATCTTTTTAATTTGTCTAGGTGCCAAACGGTCGGTAACATAGGACTCTACCAGTTCAGAATAAAATCTCCATTTGTTTTACTGTTTTTCTTTAGAAATTGAATAAATACCAACTTAGTAAATGTTTGGCTCTGAAATGCTCAGAAGGTTTTACGAGTTAAAGCCTTATATTTGAACCAGGAAATACACAACAGAGTAATTTTGTATACTTCATATTTTAACATTGTGTGTTTTATTGAATTTTTAAATAACATAGGTATTTTATTTTTTTATTATTGTCATAACCGAGCTTCTCTTACTGTGTGCAGGGGAAACATTACAAACGATAAATGCTTGTGCTCTATTTACTCTCTCTCCTCCAGTTGGACACAGAGTACAGGAAAAAGTGGGATTCCTTGGTTATCAAGCTTGAAGTGGTTGATAGAGATCCCAACACAGGCTCTGAAGTTGTGCACTGGGCAACACACTTTCCAGTAAGTTTGCTGTTTGTTTGCATGCATGAGAACATTTCAGTGTTCACAGCTTATTATAGTCCTTCTAATACGTGTTTAAAACAAAACTAATCCAAATTTTTAGTTTATAGATTGGATCACACATTGATATGTTGTTAAATCTCTCCTCACAGTATCCAATGTATTCAAGGGATTATGTTTATGTGCGACGATACGATGTTGACATGGAAAATAATATGATGATCTTGGTGTCAAGGTAAGACTCCTAAGTATTTGTTGAATTGTAACTTTGGTTGGTATTTTGTACATTTAGAGGCATAAACAAATTTATGATTAATCTCATAACTTGCTGTTTGATATTGAGTAGAGCCGTGCAGCATCCTAGAGTCCCCGAGACTCAGGAATTTGTGAGGGTCCACACGTACCAGTCAAAAATGGTCATTCGCCCCCATAAGTCCTTTGATGAGGTTTGTGATCAGCTTTTAAGTATTCAAATGTTTTGAAGTTTATGAAATGTGTGTTTTTTAATTATTTTTTTTTTCAATTGAGTTTGTGTTTTTTCTCTGACAGAATGGGTTTGATTACCTGCTGACATACAGTGATGATCCACAGACGGTTTTTCCTCGTTACTGTGTGAGCTGGATGGTGTCAAGTGGTAAGCAGCGTTTTTCTGCGATTTAAATTCATCATGGATCGTTCAGACATTTGATAGTTGTTGTATAAATGGGTTAAACGTTATCGAAAGTTTCAAACTGAAAGCTGGAATCACCACAGGATTCCTCATGTCTTCAAAAGTAGCATTTAGACTTAGACAAACTAATGTATCTGTGTGCCGTTTACGGCTGGCAATATATCCAGAATGCACTATTCAAATTAGCCATGGTTACCCTTGTTTTAGAGGTAATTTCTTTGGCTCTAAAGCATTTTGTGTGGACTTCGAGGGCTGTCTCGGCATCAGATGTACGCAGGCACTTTTCTTTTGTAGGCCGGAAGGGGAGGAAAACAAAAATACCAAAGATCAGCCAAAAATGTTTGTGGAAACTAGGGTAATTAACAAGACGGTTAGCCTTAGCTATAGGGATCGCACTTTTCTTATGGTAAAAATTGACTTTATGTGGTGATTTTCTCATCATCGAATGTTTTGTTTTGTAAACAATCTATGACTGGTTTTATAATACAGGCTCAGGATTGCTTCAAAGGTAGGAAGTCGAAGCTTTGTTTTTTGTTTCTTGCGGCATTAGTGGCTCGTTATTGTAAAGTAGGCTGAGAGGAAAGAGGGTACAAGAGAGGGGGAGACACATGCGGCAAAGGATCACAGGCCGGGTTGAACCTGGGTTGGCCACGTCAAGGACTAAAGGCTGATCTATAAGTCGAAACTAGGTCGTCTGCGTAGGTGTTGTGGTAAATGCGGAGACGTCCCCGCCCCCTCCACAGTACTCTGCTGCACATCTCCCCAATTGTAGATGACAGCTGACACTGCCGCAGACAGGAGGCCTCTGATTGGTCACATCTACATCCACTCTACCCTATGTGTATTTCCTGTTTAGTACCTTACTGGCTTGTTTTGTTTGTATGACCGCCATCGTGGAAAACGACTCGTGAAGATGGACCAGCTAGAAGATCGAGGTGCCCGAGAACGCTGAGACCATTTTTCCACCTGGATCACTGCTCTTTTCTGTCCTCATGTCCCTCCGTTGTCCGACTACCTTACCCCCACTTCCTCACCGCCTCGGCCGTATGTAGACCCACAGCTATTTTGTGATTGTCCCTCTTGCGTTGTGGCGTGGACTTCGATATTGAGCATAAATCACAAATGTCTGCGTCATACCTGCGACAAGTTCACTGCGACACACTGCTGCGGGAGCATATCCAGCCCTTAAGGTCTCTGTACATGAGTCGTGCGCGCTAACCACTGCCCACCAAAGCAAGCCCCCGAAGCTTTATTTTAAACATTATGATTTAACATGCTACTATATCTTTATTAATTGTTCTTTGGTGCTCAGTGGATGTTAAGAAAATAAAGTGCAGCAGTGATCAGAAATTAAACAATGTAGGAGAACAAGAAACCAGTTTAAAAATGGTGGCAATTACATTTTCTTGTAAAAAAAACTAAGTTGAGATTGTTTTCAGATCAGTCTTTGTTCTGTTTTTTTTTTACTAAATATTTGGCCTATTTAAAAAAAATAAGAATATGAATGTTCATAATGAATTGATCTCATACCTACTTACTAGAATTTAGCTTTCTAACTTGCTTTATTATACATGGCTTGATATGATTCTGTTAATCTATAGTTAAGATAATGATATAATTCAACTCTGAACACAAGAAAACAAGCTTCAGATATCTTTTGGTATGTTTTAATTTGATGGCAAAGATGTTTTCAATGGGCACTTAATCATATATTACATCATTTCTTGAATATTAGAAATGGTTAATTGAAATTATTAGAAAATCCAAACCTGGAAAAATTTGGAATTTATGAATAGTAAATTTATCAGCTCCCCTTCCACTTTTTTGTAGTGCAGGTGATAAGCTGCATTTTTCCCATTCATTCCTATTTTCTGAGTATCTGTGTTTTCCAACTCCCTGCCAGGTATGCCAGATTTTTTAGAGAAACTACATACTGCTGCCTTGCGGGCCAAAAACTTGGAGGTGGGGATTCATGACTACACCAGTGTCACGAAGTCCAGCGACTCCAACCGCCAGCCAAGCCAAGAGCGTATGGGTGGAGAAACCACACATTCTGGTCCTGGTCGCATCTACGCCTGAGATGGATATTGTCCAGAGTCAACTTTGGCATGCTTTAACCTGCACTTAAGTCTGATTGAAGCCGTCCAATGAAACTTTGTGGGTACTCCTACAAGTTAGGTTTTCAGTTTAATTTGCAGACACTTGTTGATCTGTAGATGCCGTAATACTGTTTGTAAAATGCAACAGCCGGAACATGATGGACATCATTACCATCTTTGTGGACACTGTACAGACTGACTGGCACGGTTTTGTTAGCCATTGTTTTTGCAATGGTGTGTCTTCCATAACTATTGGTAAAATTCAGACAAATTTTCTATTTGTGAAAATAATTTTGTCAAAGGACTGTTTCTCCATTTTGTTTTTCCCAAAGCCTCGTGGATTTTCATGTGGTTTTTTCGACTTTGACACAAGAAGGTGACTATGACTGAATACTGATGGACTTATTGCTGTAATTCAAGGCCTTTGCCAAATGAACCCACTGCCTGATGAAGAACTGCGGCTGTTGAGGGAAATGCGGGAAGCGAGTCCCTACATTTCATGGGGTTTTAGGGTTATTTGCAGCACAATACAGTTACATGACTGGATAAAGGGGATACAAGATCAATGCATCTATGACAGGAAAAACAGAAGAATTTGGGCTTTTCTTTACCTTTGAGAAAAAAAGTAGCTTTTGTTCATCAAACTGTTTAAAATTGCCAGCCCTCTGAAGATATTGCTGTCCTTCAGCATTAGAGGCATAGTGTCTTACAATAACCATATAAATCCTCATTAGCAAAGGTACTGATGTGCATCTGGTGAGGAAGTTGTGCATCGCACTGCACAGCCATTGAGAACCTGTCTGGTTTTTGCTTTGGATTAATATTTAAGTTTTTTCATTTGAGATTTAGTGTTAAATCTATTCAGTTTGTTTGATTTGAGTTACGTGATTTTGTCTGTCACTGTAGAGCATTCATTATTTTTATGTGCAAAAAAAAAAAAAAAAAACCTTTTACAGTACTTAACCTCTGACTTTCAGTTCTGCATTTTCTTTTTTTTTTTCAATGCAAGTCCTACTGAAATGCCATACTGTTCTCCATCGATGCATTTTACAAGGAGCTGTGTGCAGGGTCTAAAACGAATGTACAAAATGAACCACATGTTGTGAATTGAAACCTTGCCTAAATAAACTGTTTACAGCCTGTTAAAATGGCACCAACATCCTAACGAACTGGTGTGTTACAAAAGCCCTCCATCTTTTACTAAATTGTAGTATTACAATTTGTGTGTTTGATGCATCCGTGTGAACCTTTGTTTTTCAATGCTCCGTTTTCAAATCCTTAAATATGTTTAATTTACTCCTTTTGAAGCATGTCTTGCTTTTTAAATAAATTTGGAAGTGTAAGATATAAAAAATTTGTATTGCATTGGAAATGCTTGTTTAACATCTTCATAGTCAAACCAAGCTGTGAAAATGTAACCTAATAAAACACATTTGCTGTTAAATGTGTGTGTTTCGTTTCAAAGCTGCAAAACTGTTACCATCTGTTGCACAAAGTGCTGTTCTTTGGCCTTTTTTTGCGAGAAACAATTAAAATTATGTAAATGAGGAGCAATAGATGCAGTTTTTGGTAACCAAGTTGGTTACAAGAATAAGCTACATTTGTAGTCTGACTAATCCAATAATCTAATTTTCCTTATATCTTGTGGTGTTTACCATGAAAGTAGCTGGGATATATCATGCTGCAAAAAAAAAAAAAAAAGGTCTGCATTGTCTCTTAAACCAATATAGTCTGCCCTAATAGGATAACGTGTAAACCTCCTACTCCCCGTCTGGGTGAAAGGTCTAGACGAGCTGCTGAGATGTCCTGGTTATAATGTAAGCACTGCTTTACCAATTACAATCAGTTCATGCTCCAAACCATTTAAACCATCAAACACTAACTTTAGATATTAAAAAATAAACCAAAACTTAAAGATTATATAATTGCATTAAATATTTTTTTTGTTTGCACATTTTTTTTTTAATGCACTGTTTGTTTGAAATAATCTAAATTACAAAAAATATATGCATTAAATAACATTGTGCTTACTCAATTAAATGGCCCATATTTATTTAGTGTACTTCATTCTGAACTTATTTTTTTAAACTAACACAAAAGAACAAGAATTTAAATCCATTATCTATAGAAGGCAAATACAAGGAAACAAACTCATTTACTTTGGAACAAAGATTTAAGAAATGTTTTCTTTTCTAAGTATAAACCATTCAGACTGCATACTGTGCAAGGTTTTATATGCTATCAGAACATATATATATGCAGTGAATGAGTGCTGGGGTTTTGCTTCGAGTTCGTACATTGCAGTCTGGGTAGTGAATTAGAGGAATAATTTTGAGGAGGGCTTGGGAAAAAAAGCATAGATCTAATTTAGTAAGTGTAAAACAAATGTAGAATATAGTTCAGAAATCACACCGCATCTCTATATTTAAACTATAAAACCCCATTGCTCTTTTGGACCATGCATTATATTTATCTATCTATCTATCTATCTATCTATCTATCTATCTATCTATCTATCTATCTATCTATCTATCTATCTATCTATCTATCT